AGGGCCCCTCGGCCGCCTCGGACCGAGCGGGGAGAGCCACTTCCGCCGCCTCGCCCCACCCCGGGCAGGCCACCTGTGAAGGCATCTGACCCGAGGCAGGCCCAGAACCCGGGGCTCGGGACCAAGCCGCCAGGGCGGAGAGGGAGGGGGCCGGACACCAACCTCCTAGGCCTGCCCCGACCGAGCCCTGAGCCACCTCGGTGGAGGAAGGGCTCTAGGTGCCGAGAGCTCGGTTTCACGCCCAGCCCCACCCGGAGAGGCCCGAGGAAGGGCGAGGGCCACCCACGCTCCCGGGGCAGGCCCACCAGAGGGTCTCGCCCCGCCAGGAGGTTTTGGCAGGGGCTCCGGCTGCACGGATATTCCGGGGCAGACTACAAATAAACGAGCGTCTCTGGGCCAGGCTGAGAGCCTTGACACGAGTCCCCAGTGGGGCGGGGGGCGGAGAAGTCTCCTCCAGGTTGGCCCAGTCATGACCCTACAGCACACTACGGGAGGGGTTCCCCCCCCCACCACCACCACACACACTCTCCGGGGACAGTTCTGGAAGTTCTGCGGTAGTGGCCGGCCCTCCTCCTTCCTCACTCCTGGAGGGAAGGTACCTGGAACCTGCCAGCCTTCACTCCTTCCCCTCCTACCAGCCCGACACCGCCCCCACAGGGAGAATTCGAGAAGCTACACTACAGAAGCAGCAGGTCTTAGCAGCAGAGGGAGACGCCAAAGCAATCCAGACTCTGAGTAAATACATTTTATTCAGAACAAGATAATAAAATAGCGTGCACTTTAAAACCAACCAAGCGCTGATAAAAATATATATCACTGCAGCTGTGATTCCACATCAAACCTGAACAGTAAGAACTGGGCATTCCGTCTTCACATTATGTGCCAGGCCTCGTGGAGACAGACACCCACTCCCCCAGAGCCTCAGAGGAAGAAGCGGCCCCTCGCGGCCTCGCAGGGGCACCCTGGTGGGGAGGAGACGGTTGGCAGCTGCCTGTGCTCTTCCCAGGCCACTGGGTGGGCACCGATCAGTAACTCCTCTGAAGTGGCAGGGGGTGGAGGGCCAGGAAGAACGGCATGCACCGGAGACTAGGAGGCGGGTCCTCCTTCTGGTCTCAGATATCCCCGCAGGCATCTTATGGCCACTGCAGAGTCCTACCTCCTTGCAGGCACACGCCTACAAAACGGCAGCCATCTTTGCTGTGGTTGAAGGCGATGGGGATTCTGAGAGCGACTGCTCTTTTCTTGACACGAGGCAGCCACAGGGCCCCTTCCTGCATAAGTATGGCAGCGGGCGAGCAGAGGGCCCGCTCCCTGAAGGCACTTGTAAGAGACTCAGGGTACACCCCCGAGCCCCACAGGCCTGCATCCCCCTTCCCTTATCCGCAGGTCCCATGCCCCTTCTCACTGCGGGCAGTGAAGGGGAAAGGAGTCTGCCTTGGGGGACCGGCCAGGTGGGAGTTTAGGGCTAGCAAGAGAAAACTGGAAGGGAGCTGGGGACGTGACCAAGAGCAGCCACAGAAAGACAGGAGAGCAAGAGCATAGCGTGGGGGGAGGAGGGGAAGCCAAGGCCACAGTAGAGGGGAGCCGGATCAGTCACGGAGACCATGGCAGTGATGTTCGCAGACAGCAGATACAGAAGGCGGAGGGGAGGCCCCTCCAGCCTGTGCTGGTCAACACGGGCTGGGAGCAGAGAAGGGTTAGGGGAGCCAACCCAGAG